TCGAGGAGAAATGGCAAGTCATCTTCGATGTTCACCGAGGGAAATGAGAATGTGGAAATTTTCCTCGAAACGAAATCATTTAGCCTGTCTCTTCGAGTTCGTTATATCGAGCGTCGACTGTAGCAGCTTTCTTAGTCTTTGGCCGGTTTCCCAGGCGGCTTTCATATCGGTCGCCAGGGTCTCTCCAGTCGTCCGTGTTTGTCAAGAAGCAGTAGCCGCCGTTAGGATTGCCAGCCGTTCGTGCAAGCGCCGCTCATGGCGATGTCTGGCAAAAGAAGTAGATTGGAGAGTAACAGTAGATGTCCAAGGCAACGAAATAGTCTCCATTTCGGCAATCGACACGCTAGACATCGAAATTACTTTGCCTCTCCCTATAGGTACAAGAGCCATGGGTTTAATGAGTGCAACCCAAACAGAACCTTCATCAGGATTTTTGAAACGTATTGTGCTTTCGAAACGAGATCGAAACATTCGCCATTGAAAGCAATTTCTTGTACGACCCAAACTAGGAATAAGAGAAGAAAAAAGTGATTCGAGCAACATTTCAAGTTAGTCATATTGCGTTCCGTCGTAACCTAATGTTGGAAGCGAAAGAGAATAATGAAAGAAAATAGCGAAAAGAATGAAGAAGAGAAAATGAATGTACTGTCAGCGAAAGGAACTCGACCGAAGACAGACGACAGAGGACGAAAGGAGACTCTTGGATAGCGGAGATGCCTCAGATGCTTCCTCCCTCCTGAATGAGCTCCTTCCCATGGATGAAGCAGGACCTTCGCCATCTCCCTTCCAAGCTTCCGATCCGCATCCGAATTCTCAGTTCTCTTCCTGGATCCGCATGGAAAATTCAACAAGGGCCGTCATTAGTGATTTCGTAAGACCCGCTTAAAAAAGCTTAAATTATTTATATCTGGATTTCTCCTTTCTCTATTTATAATACTATTCCCCATTCCCGGCTCTTTCACTTCCTTCAGACGCTTCGATAACTATTTTTCATTGCCCAAGGAGCACTTCCTGTACACGAGAACGCATCAACGTAAGGAAAAAATTATTTTTCTTCTGAAAAACGAACTTACCAGTTCAACTGGGAGATCGAATCTCCACGCAGAAGCTTCTGCACTTAGGACTTCAGGGACGCAGTACAACAAACGTTTTGATGAATATCATTCTAAAGGCTTGCGTCGACCCTGCTTCAGTGAGTGCGAAAGGCAAATGGACTGGCCCACCTGTGCGTAGCCATGACAACTGCATTAACACTTCAGCATGAGTTTTTAATGCTTGCTTTTCACGTTGGAGTTCATTTTTCTTCTCAGTCGTCTTGAGTAGTGCTCGTCTTTCTCGTCACCCCTGACTCACTCTTCACTCTGGATAAGGCAACAAGCACAAGACTGCATGAAATTAATAATAGGCAACGCAGTTCATAGCCCCTGTGAAAAGTTGACTTCGCGGTCTCCATCCTTGGAGGATGGGATATGCTCTAAAGGTTACAGTAGTCCTGTCTCTCCTGTCAGTTGCTCTCTCCGTTTCCCAACTATGGATCCGTCAGTTGCGAGGTCTGGAAGGAAACTGGCCGTTTTAGTTGGAGATGAACACCCCGACTCAGACTGACGACTGTACATGCGTATCGATTCGAGAACAATACCCAGGTTGCTATGGAAACTGGGGACATATGGAAGTATTGAATAAAAGTTATTATAAAGAAAATAATGAAAAATTAAGTGAGAAACCGACCGAAATGTCTGAAATTTTCCCACTGGTCACAATGGGAATGGCAGTGATAAGTTGAACCTTTTTAGTTTGGAATAAGGGTGTCGACAACAGGTGGATAGTTCCATCCGCTCCTTATCTCCCCTTGAAGTACGATTGCCACGTCAATGTGGAAGTTTGCGCATCTGTGAGAAATGTTAAGAAACTTTCGAGTCTGCTTGCAGAGGCAATTATTGCACAAGTGTTGCTATTCGAGGAATCGTCAATGAAATTGGCACCAGAATCAAAGGGAATGAGGGAATCCAGATCCATAACCTAGGATAGGTAGTGGGCCACCAGCTCTCTTCCCCATCGTAGCTGCCTTCCCCCAACGCAACGTTATGCGTACCAATCATTCGGTTGGTGCGCATAATGTCCATTGCAGAAGAGATGCCGTGCGTCAAAGACCGGCGATGGGGAACCCATAACGGGTAGGGCTTCATCGGCATCAGTCGTGTTTCGAACAAGAGTCGCAGGGGTTCGAAAGGAGACGCTAGTGATCTAGTGACTTTCATAATATTATACTTTTCATCGATTAAGAGATCGCATCGTTCAGATATAAACACATGTCGGTGAAAGTGTGAACGATGAATGCATTCTGCACGAATATGCAGGATTTCCCATTGGCACACGTACTAACTTTTGACTCGGCAACAAAAACTTCTCTTTTCCTCACTGTTTACCCGGTTAGCAATGCATGCGTCTCACGGATTTATCTCCAGACCACTTGACGCAACAAGAGATAGAACGACCTATCAGCAGATAATAAAAAAGAGAAGAATTAGGCTCCCACGTTGCAAACCTCAGTCCCTTCGTGTCCTATTGTTCTGTAAAGTCTTCCCTACGTCGTTGCCGACGAGATCATGGGAGTAATCTTGCTTTTTTTTCAGCCATCTTTTCTCTAACACGCCATGCGTGCTCCTATTAGTGGTGATCCTGTCCCTCTCCCTCCTCACAATGAACTTCTATTCTTATTCTCGATGCGAACAGCCAAGGGACACAATTTGGCATTTTACCCATTCCGCCTGAAGATATGCAGTGCCCCCTAATGGCGCACAATGCCGTATACCATTTCAAATCCTCATAAATTTGTTACTTTTCTTCCGATACTTCCGAGACAAAGTTGATTAAAAGGTGCAACTCAGAAATTTTTCGCTCCGTCTTTTTCTTTTCGGATTGGTTGAAATTGCGCAACTAACTGACGAAAGAAGAAAACTCATGGAAGAATTTCAGCAGACCAATTCTCCTGCTCTTGCTGGAACCCATTTCAGACGAAAATTCCCTGGAATAAATCCACCAACTCAGCCGAGTCCGACTTTGCCAAGACGTTCCACGAAGAAGCAACCATTCGCGACAATTTCGAAATGGAATTCAAGGAAGCCCGAAGAATGCTCGAGCAGAAGTGCCTTTCTCGACGACTTTAGGGCTTGCTTCATTAGAAAACTTCTTGGCTAGGTTGTACGCTTTATTCCCGAGAATTTCCGTCTGAAATCTCTAAGTTTTTGTGCGCCACCCTCATGAGAAAAAATGAGAAAAAATTTCCGCCCATATGGCTATTTGAAAAGGTGTCGAAATGATCCCAAAAATCAATCTAAATACCCTCAAATTGTATTGATCAGCGCAATAGTCCACGTTTGGTCTTCTTTTTCTTGATGAAGATTGACTCGCATATAAAAATCCGTAAAATTGTTAATAGAGGGGTCTTTACCAGATAAGGCCATAAGACTTCGTCTCCATGACCTTTGGGGCGGTCAGAGAGCCTTCATGGACAGCACTAAACACTGAAACGTTGCGGAACTTACAAAGCATATAAGAAAATGAATTGCAATAAGTGAGTCTTACCACGTACAACTCAGCGAAATCGAACTTGTCAAATTCAGTGCATTTGAGCCTCGCTCATATTCAATGCTAGGTAGTGCTCGTGTTAAAGCGTTATTTTTTTATCCAACCTAGTAAAATCACTATTAAAAATAAATATTCAAAATATTTAAAATATTTTAAAATTTTAATTATTAATTAAATTATTTTCATCGAAGCAGAAAAGAAAATACTGGTTAGATGTAGGGATATCTCTTGTTTTGATTCCCATCACAGCAATTCCTTTGTCACGTTCATAAAGGATTCGGTTGACTTCCGACGCCAAGCCGACGTCAGGAGTGCATAGCTGTTGATCGGAAACGAAATGAGGGAATGATATAGCTGGAATGTTGACGGGCCTTGGATCCAGTGCTGGGTTATGGTGACGCACTATTGAAAGCTGGACAGTACTGGACAGCTCAGTACTCTATGCAGGATGATCGTTATGTGCGTGGAGTTTCGATTTTATTCAAGTTCAAGTAGTGGTGATACTTTTCAAAACAGTTGCGTTCTGATGTTGATTTGGTGGTGTAGCATGCTTCCTGAAACGATTGCATGAAATCTGATGACTTTTAGCCCCCCAAAAAGCATTTTTAGTGCATTCTGGTGCTTGAAACTATCACTGCAGTCACTTGCAGTGTAAAAGAACTCAATAATTAATTCACATCTATAGATTTTGACTTCAAGGGGGCTTCTCGCTTCCGCATAGAGTCCAAATAGCCACACTGTTAGAAGAATTTTTTGTCTCCGTAAAAGAATGGGAACGTGAGAAAACATCAATTTCAAACGTTCAAGAAGATAGTTGAAAACTTTTCTCGTCGAACAAAATTCCACAAATCGTATCATACCAACTCACAAATGTCATTATTTCAGCATATGCTGATATCGAAAACCAATTTACAGTGGTTTTCCTGAGATGCTGTCTGAAAATGCGATACTTCCTTCGCAGGAAAGCTGAAATCGATGAGCAGAGAGAGGGATCTTCAACATTTCCGAGGAGGAAATTAAGAACCAAAGCCAGTCGTTCACATTCACGAGCAAAATTTGGGACCTTCTTGTGGAGGATAACAGTATTGTGAACCCATTTCTAGTATTGTGAATCCACATGCGGAAATTCGGTGTGATGAGAAGTATCCGATTTCGTGGGTGGAAAATTTTACACGTAAGAAGTTTTGCCAGAGGGATCCTATTTCATAAAATTTAGTTTAATTTCATAACAAAGGCGGAAGCGTTGAATGAAGAGAAATTCTACTTACATTTTTATCACTTCATGGTCACCATGTCCATTCAACTATTATGCAAGAGCCGTCATATTAGCAAAAATGTATTCACCATTTACATCTTTCACCAGTTTATATCCCAGTGAAAGGAGGAAGTCTTTGAGAGCCTCCTTTGGAAGCAGCAATTTTTACTTAAGGTGAAGCTAGTGCACTTTGACTTACGCTACTTTTCCGTTGCAGAACTCTTGAAAGTCAAGCTCAGGGAGGTGCAGGTCCGACTTTTTCACGTGCCAGCACTACATCAAAGCGTCCAAGAGCATGTGAAGGGGATAGCACTTGACCAGGGCTGAGTAGATGGGAATGTCTTTATTAAAGGGTCCCTTGATTTTCGTTCCTTCGTTGCTGATCCCACCTCCCCAAGAAGCTTTCGGATCTTTCGGGTCATATGGATATTCCATCAACTCCTGAATTGAAGAGTCGAGTCTTATTATACTGCCGAATACATACTGTATAAGACATCCTTTTGATGTCGGTATGTACTCACTTGTATGATGTTGTCCTCGGGTGAGAGGCAATAGGGGGCAAGCCAAGCATTTCTGTTTTGGGTCGTCATTTTCTGGAAAAGGTGAGGATTCGGTTCCACCAAGAGTCCCGTCCATCCGTAGTTCTCTTCCAAGTAGAGGGTCTTCGATATTGTCCTCCCGTCCAGGGCACCGGCCTCCACGAAAAACTTGTTGTTCCGATCCTGGATTGAAGAGGTACTGAAGAGCTAAACATCTCAACATCTACCTGGGTCTCATTCTCGTCGTTTATGGGCTCAACAATTACCTAGAATCATTTTACATTTTCCGAGGAAAAATAGAATATGGAGAAAGACAAGCCTTCTCTTTTTAATTACGTTATTATATGAATTTTTTTTAGAGAAATTTCCCAATACCTTTTTTATATGGGAGTTATTACTTATTCCATTCGTTTTTAAAGGATTATTTTACGCCTTAGGTTAAATTGCACTGACAAGCAATCAAACGGTCCACCTTTTTTGCATATTGCAGAAAGTATTCCAAGAACTTGAATAATATCCTAAATTATGAAATCTCCTCGATTACAAGAAGCCATTCGATGAGCTATTCTCTAACTGTAATACTGAGGCTGCACTTTTTTTTAAAGAAAGAATAATCTTCACTGATATGCGCACAGATGTACTGATCTATTAAAGTGGTATGCATCCATTCTGGTTATATGGCACGTTAGACGAATTTCTTTTTAAATCTTCTTCGGAGAGTGCATCTCGGCCTCCACCATGGACCCTCCACGAACCCCCTGGACCTACCCCATGGACTCCTGGTGGTCCATGGACCCATGTTAAGCACCCCTGGTCTAGACGCATGTCGACCTCAGTCTTCCGCTTCATCGTGTCGAAGAAAGGATCCTGATGAACCCTCTTGGCAATGCATTCGCACGCAAGCGCGTAAGAGTCTCTGGTCTTTTAACCAATAGAAAATCTAATCCGTTTAAACGGAATCACAAGGACAGACTTTTTCGCACCTAAAATGCATCAATTTGATGGACTGAATGTGTGTGAGGTACGTTTTGAGCGACTAGTACGACCCATCCGCCCTTATTTTAATTGGATTATTTTGCATGCTTAATTTCAAAATATTCATCTCATTCCTTGAAACTCTGATCGATTTCATGACGCAATGCCTCGAGCCTGTGTACCAAATTTCTTCAAGATTGCTTAAATCTATCTTGGATATACATTTTAGCGGTGAGGATGAATTAAAACATCGTAGCCATTGACAAACGATATTTTTTCAGGTATTTAAGCAGATGCTGCCGTCCTCGTCCAGACTCCACCCTTGGAGACGGTTATTTCTCTGAACTCTTGCCATTTAGTGGTATGACGCTCCATACGCTCTTTCTTATCCCAGTTTTGTTCTGTCTCCTCCTCGCTCTTCCTCAATCCAAGGCTCGACCTTATTGGTTAATTTGCGAGTACTTGGATCTAATCAAGTGTTGTGTCCCTCCTTCAGCACCGCATTTCCTATGCGAAGATTTCCACAAGCAGACTGGGTTAGAATGCAATGCTTACTCCCGTTCTTGAAGGACACGAGAGTTTCGATCTCTTAATGCCAATAATTTGACAGAGCGGGAAGTTGACAGAGGAACAGTGCTCCAATTTTGAAAATCATGGGAAACAACGTAATTCTGAAGAATTAGAAGTCTCGCCGAGAAGAGTAAGCAGGAAATCTTCACGATGAATGTTTTGAGGGTTCACAGTCCACTACAAAAATCGAGAAGGTGGTTCCAGACCAATAACTCAAGAATGTCCCCTCGTACAAGAATAACTGACCTGAATGGGAAAAAGCGGAGCGATGAGATTTTTCGTCAACTGCCCCTCGCTTGGGTCAGTGTCCTTCGTGGATTCTTGATGCTGCATTTCTGCGGGTGAAGGCGGGATCATGCCCAGGGTGTCCCTTGGTTGTTCATATCGGCCGTACGAAGAAAAGTTCAGAAAGAAAAGGAGGGACAGGATGACCAATAGAACCGCGCATGACAGGCTGGAGGGACGAAAACTGCGTAACTTCTGGGTGAAATTCATGATGCAGTTCCAGAATGCACAATACACCATGGAAGTGAAGAGGCCAGACGAAAGCACAGAATTGACAGTAAGAACAGGTACTAACGAAATAAGTGGGTTTCGCCTTATCTGGTGACCTGATGATAATATTTTCTTTATCTGCCATTCCCATTGGTACTATGGGGAAATAGCAGATAATGCGATCGGTCTGTCCCTTTTTTTTTATTCTGTCTGTCTGCAGTATCCATAACGACCGGATAACACAACCTCACAGGGCATGTGCAGCTTTCCGCCTGGGTCGGGTTGAACGTCTACGACTAAAACATCCACTTCCCTTCCAGCCCTTGAGGATGATGAATCCATAGTCGACAATGGGAGAGAGCGGCTGCTCGCAGCCGCGTAGACATGTATATGTAGACATGAAATGTCGCATCTGGCATCCTACACATCATACCATTGAGTAGAGAGTTTAACTAGAGGCGACGCCCCGCTCGAATCACATTCATTGACAGGGTCGCAATATAGATGTCACTGTCGATCCTCCACCTAACGTGCGCTTATAAATAACTCCTCCATGGCCAAGCAACGGACTTGAGACAGGCGTGTTACGTTGAGGGATCCCTTCGAGTCGAATCCCTGTACCAGTCGATTTCCGATTCCGCTCCCACGAAGCACCCCTTACGGAAGATAACAAGCCACCAGATGTCTCTGTGGTATTTCGACTCTCCCCCTACCCCTCGGAGTGTTGTCTCTAATTATACTCACTACTCTGTGCTTTACACTGTCCTCTTATCTCCGCGCGGCACAGACGCGCGAACCATTGCGAACATTCCTAGCTGTTCGGGCCTCTTCATATTGGCCTACAATTGAAAGCCCGTGTAAACACGGGGTGTTTAGACGGTGGATTTCGTTTTTATTCACTGTATGACGATTACTGGCGAAAATATTTCTCAATGAAAGAGAATCACGGTTAAACGCACTTGGGAGCTGTCGAAAAGGCCCAGCCCATGCCCAATGTCTTCTTTACTGCTGATCGTATTCGGAATCTGTCTCGTTTGCTCTGCGTATGCCGGAACGTTCGGCCTCGGTACTCGGTACTTGAGAGGGATCGATATCAGTATGACTCCCACGCGCTATTCGCTTTCTATTACGATCATTGGTGCGAGGCTATTTTCAAGCTGTTTCTTCGTCGATGTTTTTTGTGGCATGGTAAGGGAATTGTTTCCCTCGAGAAAAAAAAGAACCAGAAGATTTATGTTAAAAAATACTTACGTCTCTAAGGACCCAGAGGGACAGAACTAACTCAGGCAAACATGAGCAGGCACAACATACAGGCAATTTCAGTCGCAACGATATCCTATGTGACCATATTCCATTATTGAAAAGCGTATCCATTCACCAAACAACGTCGGGTCAACGTTGAGTGAGGACTGATTTTTCAACGTAACAATGTTACCACAATGATGCGTAAAAGGTGGATCCAAAGTTGCCGCAATTTTGAAATGAAGCAGTTCAACGTTGAAAAGTATGATCATGTGTCGCGTTGTTCCAGCGTTGAATTTTCAACGTTTGCGGCATTACCTCTTCCTTCTCCTGAGCCTGAACACGTGCTAACATTGATTGAGCTTGAAAGTATTCTAATGAGTGCAATTATACCCGGAAGGATCCATCTAAGTAACTTCCTTCACTGGATCAGAACTCGACTTTAGAACTTGAATGACACAACTCATTCTGCCCAGTAAAGGAGTTACGTGCCTGGCATGTCCTCCAAGTTCATGACTCATGCAGGAGGAGAGCCAGACACACCCTTAGCAGGCCGGTTAGCACGCTATCATCCTCGAAATCCTCGCTATCACGGTCCAAGCCATTGTGTCGTGCAGTGTGGTAAGAAAACTCGGCATGTTTCCTCGGACCACCCGGCCAGAAGTAACTGGAGTCTCCTTCTACCAAGTTACCTCCTTCAAGGGAGGAATCCAGGAATTCCAAAGCCTTCCCTCACGTTGTACGTGGAAATCGATCGGGTACTGGATGAAAAATATAGGAACTGTATTCATCAGGGCACCAGAGTGAGAATCACTAAATTAGCGGTTAGGTGCCATTTCGGGTGAATTGGTAGAACCTATTTTCTGTCGAGAGGATGATAACTCCATTTTGAAACAACATCAAGATCAATGACGAAGGCAAATCTGAAAAATGAATTTGCACTTTATAGCTTTCAAATGACTTCGCTAATCCGTGTGTAGTCTCTTTAGGCTGAAAATACGGTTAATTACGAAAAGCCGGCATTTAATTGATTTATTCTTCCTATTCTTCGCTGAATTCTCAACTTCAACCATTTCTCAACATTTCAACGTTGCTCAATGTTGACTCAACGTTATTGTACCGAAGGGGTAGAATATGCATGACACTTAAGCCTACCATGGATCCTTGAAATAGATCTAGGCCCAGCATCACATTGAGCCTGTCCTGGACACAAATGTTGTCAAGAGATATTCTCTTCCTTACTCTCTTATCCATTCCCAAGGTAAAAGGCAGTGCAAACCTTAAATGAAATGTGTGCTAATGCCGATAGTCAAAATGATAATAGACCCGCTGGTGATTAGAATGACATATACTTCTCAGCACAACTGAGAATAAATGTGAGCTTCGATTAGAAGTCAAGAATAGAAAACTGATGTCGTACGGTAGTCTCGAAGTTATCTAGACTGAACAGAGATGGCGCCCGTGCACTCTCAATTCAGATTGACTACAGCAGGATGTCAACATTTTTGCAACATAAAAAGAATTCTTGCAGAGGTAACCAAGGACTTTCGATTGATGTATCAAACAAACACGAATTTGGGTGCTAAATTGATAAGAAAGATCATCCGCATCAGGTCAAAGGTCAACTCAGAAATGAATTTGCACGTCTACAAAAACTTAGAAAACGAATGAGAAAATCGGTTAAGAAACCTGGGAGGAGTTCACCGGAGAAAATCCGTTCATACAAACATTTGCAGGTCGTTATGTATGTAGATTATTTTACTTCTGGAAAACGAACTTACCAGTTCAATTGGGAGATCGAATCTCCACGCAGAAGCTCTTGTTTTTCGGACTTTAGGGACGCAGTACTACGAATGTTATGATGAACAACATTCAGAAGACTTCATTCTTCTTCCTTAGAATTTAACATCTTAAAAGTGTCGACCCTGCTTCAGTCAGTGCTAAAGACTAATGGAGTGATCCACCTGTATGCAGCCATGACAACTGCATTAAGACTTCAGCCCAACCAGCATGTTTATGTTAATTTTACGTAAAATGAATGTAATTTTTTTGCCAATTTCATATCTTTTTTACGCAAACCATCATCGAGATAATGGCAACATGTTTCGAGAAATGTTGCCTCTGTAATACGCAAACAATGATATAAAATTAGCGTGAATTTGATATAAAATTGACATTCCCGTTTACATCCCCAACAGCATGTTTACATTCGTTTTACGAAAAATTGATGTTAATTTTCCCCTAACATTCATGGTTATTAACGAGCCGATTTGTACTTTTGAAGGGAATTGATATACTCTATTTCTCCCTTTCCTTTTCACACTTTGTAACTCTGGAGTACCTGGACTAGTACACAAGTACACAAGTACTCCTCCTCACCAGCACTCAAGAGTACCAAGATAACCCACTGCTTCCTCCTCTCGTACCAGAACCGCGGGAGGAGGTGTAAACGTTTAGAGGAGCTCTCTTCCGTCTAATATACCTATGGAATATCTAATATACAGTATATAGAAGATCGTGACTGACTGACTGACTGACTGACTGACGCTAATTCCAACCATGTTCCAGAAAGGTTAGAAATCTGAAACTTGCTACACATGTACCTTTTGTGGTGGAGAGTTCAGAAAAACGCCGACTTTGGAGGTACATGCCCTGGGGGTACACATTTTGGGGGGAGAAGTTTTTTTAAAAATATATATCGTGATGGATAAGGATGTCATCGAAAGAATCCATTGTATGTCATCGTTTCGGTGCTGTAGTGGTAGCACATCGGACCGATAATTGTGAGGTCTGGGTTCAATTCCCAACCATTCCATGCCTCTTTTTTCATTTCTCTTGCCTTCCATGTCCCATTGCTTCAATAAAACGGAGAGACATGGAAAGCTGAAAAGTGGCATGGACGTTCCTACTGACAAAATTTTACATCCATGCCCTGGGGGCACATGCTGAGTTCAGGAAAAATTCTACTTTGGTGATACATGCCATAGGGGCACACCTTTTCGGGGAACACATTTTCAAATAGTAATTTTTCTTGCGTCATTGAAACGGAGAGACATGGAAAGCTGAAACCTGGCAAGAACCTGGCAACTGCTGACGCACTGAGCTCAAATGTCAAATGTAAAAAATTCAACAACAAAAAAATATTTTTTTTTTTGGGTGGGGGACAAATTTCTTGGCGACGTAAAGTTTTCACAGAATTTTTCATATCCCAGCGAATCGGGCAGAATTATAAAAGGTGCAGCCGGCGCAGGCATAAGGGACGTGATGATGATTTAAGGAAAAATTCAGCTTTTGGTGTGCGTCTCCTCAGAGCACAGCTATTGGGTTTGTCACTTTTCTAAATACATTTTTTTCCGCCAACAAAAAGAAGAAACGTATTAGGCTGAAACTAGGTGGCATGGAGTTCCATGAGTCTACATTTCAGTAGAAATAAAGTTTTCGTTAAAACCAATCTGGGCACTTTCTTACAATCCCATTCTCCTCAATTTTTTTTGACCCAACGAAAAAATGATAGTAAATTTAAAATTCCCTCAGAAGTACCTGTTTGATTGCTGAGTGCAGGAAAATTCTACATGCGAAATATGTCCCCTTAGCGTAGATTATAGGAGGGAAGTATTTCAAAATGTATTCTCTACCATTACAAAAAGGGACACATGAAACGATTTCAAATTAGGCACACTAGAAATAATCGAAGTAATGGTATTGATAAAAATGAAGAATTTCGTCCCCATATGTCACGTATTTTAATGGAGTCGTACGTAAAATACGTTTTTGCAATTTCGCAAAGTATAAATGAATTGATCACTATTCGTATGAATGGAGCGCCGAAGGCGCGACCATAGCGAGTTTGTTTGCCCGAAGGGCAAATAAACTCGCTAGTACAGTATATAGACAATCGTGGCTGACTGACTGAAGCTAATTCTAACCATGTTCTAGAGAAGTTAGAAATCTGAAACTTGGTACACGTGTACCTTTTGGGATGCAGAGTTCATAAAAAATCAGACTTTGGAGGTACATGCCCTGGGGGCACCCATTTTGGGGGGAGATGTTTTCAATGAAATATTTTTGCTTCAGTCAAACGGAGAGACATGGAAATCTGAAACTTCGCAGGGACGTGCCTACTGAGACACAAAATTCAGGGAAAATGTCAAGTTTTGGATACATGCCCTGGGGGCATATTTTTGGGGGGTGACTTTCTCAAATAATTTTTTTTGTCCATTCAATTTTACAGAGATAGAAATGTGAAACCTGGCGCAGCAACAACGGAGATGATGATGAGTTCAGAAAAAATACCAGTTTTGTGGTGCATACCCCCAGGGCATAGCTTTCAGCTGTGTCGGCTTTTCAATAAATATTTGTTGCAAAAGCAAAAAGAACAACCGGATAAGGCTAAACATTGGTATGCCCGTATTGTTCGGAGTTCTGATTTCAATAAAAATTAAATAAATTTTGCAAAAAATATATTTTTTGCAAAAGGTGCTTTTTTCGGAAACTTTTCTGATTCAACGAAGGAGAGAACTAAAGAAAGTTGAAACTTGGAGCCGAAGTACCTGTTCGATTGCTGAGTATATGCCCTACTTTTCAAATATGCCCCCTCAGGGCAGATTATGAAGAGATTCGACGTTAGGCACACAAGAAATAATGGGAATAATTATTTCGATGAAAATTTACGTTTGTTTTCCCTCGATACACATTCCGAAGGGCAAAAACTTTTAATACGTTCTTGCCACTTTGAAAATAAATTATTGAATAAGTAACTATCTTGGGAATAGAGCGCCGAAGGCGCGATAATAGCTAGTTTGTTTGTTTTTTCCGAAGCGCAAATAAACTGCTAGTTAAAGAGAGAGAAGGTATAGTGCTTATGATGCTGGGATTCTACTCTTCCTTATTCCCATGCACTGCTCCAATAACAAGCTTAGATTCATTATTTAATATATTTTAAATATTCCTGAGTCATATATTATTATAAAAAAATATGTAATAAGTTCATGCTTTCCAAGTGTATATTCATGGATTACATAATAAAAAGTGGAAGGATGGTAAGAAACCTGTTATATATCAGGAAAGCTTGTACTTAAAAGCATATGTGGGGTGCAGGGAGCAAGGGTTAAATCTAGTGAGGAATTTTGGTACTTCAACTGCAAGATGGTCAGCAAAAGTTTCATATGGATGGTGTGGTGTTAATTTTGCATAAACTTCATGGTATGTACTTCACGGCAGATGGAGTGACGTCTATTTTAAGCAAAATACACATACACTTTGGTGATGTAAATATATGAACGTAAATTTTACGTAAACGTGGTCATTTTCAAGGCAATTGCAAACGTTTTCATTGTTTGCAAAAAATGGCTATCTTTTTTACGTAAACATGCTGCTTGGGAGCATGAGTTTTCAATACTTGACTTTTGATCTTTGCAGATCATTTTTCTTCTCAGTCGTCCTGAGTAGTGGTCATCTTTCTCGTCACCCCTGACTATCTCTTCATCCTGGTTGTGACAACAACCACAAGATATCATGAAATAATCATAGGCAACGCGGTTCATAGCCCCTGTGAAACGTTGACTTCGCGGTCTCCATACATGGAGATCTGGGATATGCTCTAAAGGTCACTGCAACCCTGTCCACTCTGCTAGGATTAGAGGCGCAGCGATTATGCATGGGGCCATCGTTTTGGAGAAACGATGGTATAAATCGTTATCATGAGTGGGCGTTTTGCAAAGGTAACAGATTAAGCTTTCTGGGGATATAACAATTTTCTCAGATGTTGCCATGGGTGCTCACAAAAATGTCGTGCGTTTGGATGGCTTTCGAGGTTTTTTTGGTATGATGAAGGAAATATTTTCCTTCGGGAAAAAATCGTTATGTGGGCGTAGTTTTGTACTTACTCAAGTTAAACAGTCTGAGGCTATAACGATACACTTAGCACATCCTGACTATTGGTGATAGCATTTAAACAGCTGCATTGCTATGTTGATTTGGTGGTGTAGCATGCTTCCTGAAATCCTGAAACGATTGCATGACTTATGAGGGCTTTTAGCTTAATATATGCAGTTTAGGGCATTCTCGTACTTGAAACTAACACTTCCTGTGTAAAAGTATCTAAGAAATATCAATAGGTTACTTCTGTAGACTTTGATTGCACGGGGCCTTCTTGTTTCCTCATTAAGTGTCCGAATAGCTACACCGTTTGGGGAATTTTTATCTCCATAAAAGACCAGGAATGTGAGAAAACATCCATTTCAAGCGTTCAGGAAAACAGTCGGAATCTTTCATCGTACAAGAATTCCACATTTCGTATCATCACAACTTACTTCATCATATGTCAATATTCCTTACCAGTTTCACCTTAGTTCCATCACAGAAAGATAAAATTGAAGAGAAGAGTGAGGTCATCATCATCTTCGAGGACGAAGTTGAAAAGCAAAGCCAATGGTTCATATTTACAAGCAAATTTTGGATTTTCTTGCAGAGGATAACGGTATTAAAAAGCCATTGCTAACAAGAATTCGTGTGCGGAAATTCTGTGAGCTGAAAAGTATCCGATATCGTGGGCATGTCGGGTGGGGGGAGGGGGGGGGGGGGAACTTGTGCACGTACCAAGTTTCGCCAGAGGAATCCTATTTTATAAAATTTAGTTTCACTAGGTATTTCATAACAAAGACGGAAGCCTTGAATAAAGAGAAATTCTTTTTATATGTAATCACTTCATTGTCATCATGTCCCTACTATTATAGCAACCATTATTTCAGAGCGGTCATATTAGCAAAAATATATTCACCACCTACTTCCTTTACCAGTTTATATCCCAGTGAAAGAAGGAAGTTTTTGAGAGCCTGCTTCCCTTCGTCGTTAAAAATGAATTCCACTTCGATCACGTGAAACTGAATGCGATGAAAAGGCAACGTCTTGAGAACTTTCAGTTCGAGTCCCTCCACGTCCAGGCTGAAAAAGTGCACGGTCGTGATGTCCAAAGCGTCCAAGAGCATGTGAAGGGGATAGCACTTGACCAGGGTTGAGTAGATGGGAATGCCTTTCTTAATGGCTCCCTTGATTTTCTTCCCTTTGTTGCTGATCCCACCTCCCCAGGAAGCTATTGGATCTTTCGGGTCATATGGATATTCCATCAACTCCTGAATTGAAGAGTCGAGTCTTATAATACTATTGAATACATACTGTATAAGACATCGTTTTGATGTCGGTATGTACTCACATGTTTGATGTTGTCCTCGGGTGAGAGGCAATAGGGGGCAAGCCAAGCATTTCTTTTCTGCGTGATCACCTTTTGGAAAAGATGAGGATTCGGTTCCACCAAAAGTCCCGTCCATCCGTAGTTCTCTTCCAAGTAGAGGGTCTTCGATATTGTCCTCCCGTCCAGGGCACCGGCCTCCACGAAAAACTTGTTGTTCCGATCCTGGATTGAAGACGTGTCGATCCCGTATCCAATTTAAATTTTTTGTTGCACTTATGAAACTGTGTTTCTCCAATATAAAACAGTAGTGTTTTTTTTAAACCTCTCTATAAACAGGGTGGCCCAAAAAAATGTACCCAAAATGCACCCTCTCTTTCCCCGCACTGCCCCTTCCATGGTAAGCTGAATTTGGAAGCGTTATGATGCATTCAGGAAACACAAACACAAAGCAGGGACTAATCTAGGCATCAATCAATCCCAGACTCATAAATTTGACCTTTTTGTTTGGTACCATTTATTCAGCATTTTATTTCATCCGCATGTTTCATATTTGTAAAGCCGCAGACATAGGTCTAGTTCGCAAAGTCCCGGTGAACATATGCGCGTGCCTTTTCGAATCCTTGGGAAAACGATGCAAAGGAACATCTCAATAAATTCGGCCGCATTCTTCTTGGCAGGAAGCGTAGGAACAGTACTGTGACCCATGAGCCACCATTTTTTACGCGTCATTCCAATCCAATATTCTCATTGGTCAATCCTGCGAAGTTCCATGGCCAACCACCAGGGCAGAAGGTTTCCCCATCAAAGTCATCGCCGCAGAGTGCCCAGTTTCTTAATTCCAAGACTTTCTGTAAATCCTCTTCAGTTCCTCATGGTCAGTACTCATAGGGTGGAATACCGAAAAGGTTGAGAGGACGGGTTCTCTTCAATTCTGCAAACGGCAACGGGACAATAAACGCCAGTAGGGTGTGCAATTTCCCAAACTGCATGTTTACATAAACAAGATATCAATTCTTTGCAAACAATGGAAATTTCTTGCGATTGCCATGAATATGACATCACCTTTACGTAAAATTTACGTTCCTATATTTACGTCACCAAAGTGTACGTGTATTTTACGTATACTAGACGTCACTCCAAGTGACGTGAAGAACATATCAAGTTTATGAAAAATTAACAACACACTATCCATATGAAACTTTAGTTGACCATCCCCCAGTTACAGTACCAAGATTCATCACTAGATGGAATCCTTGTTCCCTGCATCCAACAAATACTATTAAGTACTGGCTTTCCTAAGAGAGTATCAGATTTTCTTACCATCCTTCCACTTTTTATTATGCAATCCATGAATATATACAGGTATATGGAAAACAAGAAATTATTATATATATATTTATAATATATGACTCAGGGAATCATTAAATGCTGAAGTTGAGCTTTTTATTACAGCAGTGCATGGGATTAGGGAAGAGTAGAATCCCAACTACCCAAGTAATAAATCATTTCTGTCCTAAATGGAAGAGAGCTCCTCTGAACATCTACTTCTCCTCTCGATGTTCTGGTATGGGAGGAGGAAGAGGTGGGTCGTTTTGGTACTCTTGAGTGCTGGTAAGGATGAGTATTCCTGTACTCGTCCGACCATCTTAGAGTTCTGAAGTATGTAAAGTAATGGGAGAATCAGTGTATCAAGTCTCTTCAATGGTATCGATTGGCTCTTTAAGTACGCATGAATGCAGGGGGGAAAGTGACATAAACTTTACGTAAAATGAATGTACTTTTTTGTCTATTTTATATCATTTTTGCGCAAACCATTGTCAAGATAATGTCAACGTATTTGCAGAAATGTCACCTCTGTGATACGTAAATGGTGATGTAAAATTAACATCAATTTTACGTAAAATCGACATGTCCGTTTGCATTCCCAACAGCATGTTTACATAAGATTTATGTTAATTTCCCCCTAGCATTCATGTGTCTTTAACGGTCCATCAGCACCTTTGAAAAGAACTGATATACTGTATCTCCCATTCCTTTCCATACCTCAGAACTTTACGGTGGCTGGACGAGTACACTCATCATCATCAGCACCCAAGAGTACCAAAATGACCTACCGCTTCCTCCTCCCATACCAGATGAGGAGATGTAGATGTTCAGAGGAACTCTCTTCCATTTATTAGAGAAATGATTTAGTGCTTGGGTAGTTGGGATTCTACTCTTCCCTAATCCCGTGCACTGCTGTAATAAAAAGCTCAACTTCAGCATGTAATGATTCCCTGAGTATTAATTTAATTTAATGATTCCCTGATATATTATAAATATATATATAATAATTTCATGTTTTCCATATATATATTCATGGATTGCATAATAAAAAGTTGAAGGATGGTAAGAAAATCTGATACTCTCTTAGGAAAGCCAGTACTTAATAGTATTTGTTGGATGCAGGGAACAAGGATTCCATCTAGTGATGAATCTTGGTACTGTAACTGGGGGATGGTCAACTAAAGTTTCATATGGATAGTGTGGCGTTAATTTTGTACAAACTTGATATGTTCTTCAAGTCAGATGGAGTGACGTCTAGTATACGTAAAATTCACGTACACTTTGGTGACGTAAATATAGGAACGTAAATTTTACATAAAGGTAATATATCATTTTCATGACAATCACAAGAAATTTACATTGTTTGCAAAGAATTGATATCTTGTTTGCGTAAACATGCTGCTTGGGATCAAATCCCCTCATTTTGCCTTTTATATGAGTTGTGAACGGATCGCTTGAGGTGAGATCGTTGGGTGTTTTCCACGTGTCTCTTACGCATTGACTTGTATATGCCCATACACAACCTGAATATTTAATTTGTTTCAGAATCAGATGTTGCAATTAGAACATCAAAATACAGCATTCCTCTAAAATGTACGATGCTCTCGTATGTTCATTACCCATTCGGCACAACAACGTTGTGTCAACATTTGGAAACGGTTGAAATGTTGAGACTTGGTAGAAGTTGAGAATTAGCTGAAAAATCAACATGGATGAAACGCTAGCTATTCGTAATTAATCGTATTTTCAGCATTTGGTGACCAAATGCATCAATTTGATGGACTGAATGTTCTTTGTGTGGATGAACGATTTGAGCGATTAGTACAACCCATCCACCCTTATTTTAATAGGATTTTTTGCATATTTGTTTTCAAAATATTCATCCCACTCCCTTAAAACTCAGATTTCATGACGCACTGCAACGAGCCTGTGGGCCAAATTTTATCAAGATCGCTTAAATCCATCTTGGATGATGCTTTGTGGCGGCGAAAATTAATTAAAACAGAACGTAGTCATTGACAAACGATATTTTTTCAGGTATTGAAGCAAAAGCTGCCGTCCTCGTCCAGGTTCTATCCCTGGAGATGATTATTTCTCCGAACTCATGACATTTGGTAGTAAGACGCTCTTTACGCTCTTTCTTACCACAGTTTTGTTCTGTCTCTGTCTCGCTCTTCCTCAACCCAATGCCAGACATTGGATGTTTGCTCAAATTATCAAATCATGGGAAATAACGTAATTCAGGAGAATTAGAAAAAGTTTCGCTGAGAAAGGTAATCAGGAAATCTTCACGATGAATGTTTTGAGGGTTCACAGTCCACTAAAAAAATCATCGAAGGCGATTCCAGACCAATAACTCAAGAACGTCCCCTCGTTCAAGAATAACTGACCTGAATCGGGAAAAGCGGAGCGATGATCTTTTTCGTCAACTGCTCCTCGCTTGGGTCAATATCCTTCGTGGACTCTTGATGTTGCATTTCTGCGGGTGAAGGCGGGATCATGCCAAGGGTGTCCCTTGGTAGTTCATATCGGCCGTACGAATAAAAGTTCACAGAGGAAAGGAGAATGACTAACAGAATCGCGCATGACAAACAGAAGTAATGGCAGCGGCGTAACTTGCGGGTGAAACTCATGATGCAGTTCTAGAACGCACTATACAGTATGGAAGTCAAGCGGCAAGACTAAATCACAGGACTGGAGGCAGAGTAGGTACCAATAAAAGAGATAAGTCTTGTCTGAACTGGTGACAGTTTTAAAATCTACGCGTCAAATTTCCCCTCTCGCGACAGGATGTTTGACTTCTATGGCTTTATGGCATTTAAATAAATTGTGACGCCACTATTGGGAAATGGGAAATCCTGTACATTCATGCAAAACGTGTTCAGCAAACCTTGATTAAATTTGAGATCAGGGCGCTCCGACTATTTCATCCAGGCACTCCACATATTCGATGGAATGGTATTCGAATATTAGATTCCACGGATTCCCAACGACTGTACTCTTAAACCATGGTGACTCTTCGTTGGATGAACATGAGGAAATTTATCCTTGTTATAAATTATTTGGCTTCACTGTCGATTTGAACTTGAATCTTGAAGATTCAGCAAACTACGTCGCAAAGTCTTGGTTCCCCCGGAAGGGGGGGGGGGCGGGTGAGTTTGGAAATGGTCCTGTCTGAGTCCATTTGCAAATCCCGAAATTGCACTTTGGGTATGCCAATGTAACTTTCCGAAGTGTAACTTAACCATCGTCGGTTAATTTTCCTAACCCTTTGAGCCAAATGACGAAAGAAGGGAATAAACCTCGACGAATTGCAAGTTTTCATGTTTGATGCTCGGCTGGAAAGACTGTCGCAGAAAAAAGATTTTAGGAATTTCTGGCCATTGTTTATTACAGGGTCACGCGATAGTCTGGCTGAGAAGAGTTATATGGCTTTGTCCTTGACATACTCCAATGCATGGTGGTGGGGGATGGGGATATCACAAATAATTTTTGTGCCATTCCAACTAGATTCTGGTTTGTGAGCAGAGGCCGAGCATTCCCCTTCGAGGAATCCGTGTTGAAAGTGAACGGAAATCTGTAAACTGCCTCTTCCTCTTTTGTCTCTCCTATCATTTTTCAGATGGCAGGCTGGACGCGATATTGTCCTCCCGTCCAGGACACCGGACTCCACGAAAAACTTGTTGTACCGATTCTGGATTGAAGAGGTCCCTTTTTAACTATGTAATTGTTTGAAATATTTCGAGTGAAATTTCTCCGCTAAGCTTGAAACGCTTCACCACCTTCATAAAGAAGGCAGCTTGCGCTCAAGTCCCCCGTGGCTTCAGAGAAGTCTCCACTTCGTGCTGGAGTGATGAAAGCGAAATGCTGCTCATACAAGGAGACAGGGAACTCAGAATGCGGCGCATCTCACTTGGACTCGCTGAACGCGGTCATAGGACAAAGATGGGACGGAAGCGATGGAGTCAAGGGTGATTCCATCGTGACTAACATAACAATCGGACGCAAAGAACATATTTATCAATTCAATCGTCTCGACCAGTTTCCATTTCTCCATAGTAATGTTTGTTTCATGGAGATTCCATCTTGTTCTTGCTATTCTGTACTTCACCATACATAAAAAATACAAATTTCTGCCAGTGGAATTGCATGAAGCGTGTGTGACTAACAACCGTAAAAGGACAAGCCGGGTCCCGCATCAAATGTACCTCGTGAATGCCCTAAATCTGGTGTTCTTCATTTGACACCATTTGCCCCGTACCTTCTTCGAGCCATGTCCTACCAACTTCCAATAAAGGTCTCATGTGCAAGAAGTCTCTCGATGAAAAAGCCTACGTTGAATCAACATTGACGCTGGGGTTAACATAATTGTGACTTAGCTCTTCTTCCTCGCGGTATTGCTTTTCCATTGGACTGTTTGTCGTAAATGGAGATTGCTCCGTCGGTGTTTGAAGATCTGGAAATACCAATCCATAAACGTGCCGTCAGGAAAAAATATCCGAGTACCCTTTCAGGCTTATTGCTGCATGCTTATCAGGCGTGTTGCGTCCAGCATTATTTTTCTTCTCTCACATTTTTCTCATTCTGTTCTTAGATGTTACCCAATGACATGCCGAAAAGGCTTTATTCTTCCGCTTTCGAAATGAAATCCCTTCATGCCTTCCTTGGCCGCAGGTCGATCTATTCTAACGACCAAAAGAAACATTACTAGGTGATGAACGCAACTGACGTTACACCCCCTGGGACTTTCTTGGAAGGAATTGTATGTAGAAATTTGACCTTGAGGGATGTAACGATTCTCAATGTCAAGTGTTTTGGCAGTTTTGATGAGGCATTGATAAAATATGATATAAGACACACGAGTATATCCGAATCACCGCGTGACTTTCTGTTGCGTTAGACCCTCTTTGAGCATTTTTATCGCCCGGTCCCTTCGTTGTTGAGTTAGCCTTAGCATATTTGGGAGGAAAAAATTTTCCGGAGATGGTAAAGTGAAATCGACTCATTTCTTCGTCTGAGGAAATCTGAACTTCACATTTTGCATGAAAAAGCCTAAATAGGCATATACCTGACACGAGCACAGTGTTCAAAGGTTGGCGAGTACGTGCTAAAAATGTTCAGGCGGTTTTAATTTCATCAGGGTGGTTGTATAGCGTGGTTTTAAAATAAATATACATTCGCGAGATCGACAGAGAGTTTTATTCTAAACCCGAGATGACCATTATACTAAGCGAAAGACTTGCGGTGGTCACGATCGTCGAGCACGATTTCGAAATATCTAGCAGAAATGAATGTCATGTCGCCGACAGGAGAAATTCAAGGAATGAGACGACCTTACTTGAAGAACACTTCCCACGCGGTATTATTGATTCTGCAATCAATTCTTATCCCACAGGAAACTAGGGAACGTAAAGCACTGCTACAAGGGAAGACGCATGCCATGAGCAGATTTCCTCCTTACTTCTGGTGTGTCCAAACTACGTCGTGTTCCAACTTCATTTTTTCGCATCTAAGTTCGGACATCCACGTAATAGGGATTATTGGAAACCATAAGACTTCGATGGTCATCATCTTTTTCACACTCATACCTACTCATATTGTGCTGCCGGACGCAAAAAATATGAAGCATCTGGGTGGTACCATTAATGCATGACGAGCTCACTACAATCCTATCCCGACTTAACTGTCCGAGCATTGGTGATCTTACCCTCGAGAGCGGCTCGCTCTTTACTTTAGTGACTGTAAGGAAGGCAGTGTTTTGGCGGGCGGCAGAAATATTCCTGGAGTCATCCTAATGAGAACAGAGATGTTCAAGAAGGCAGAAAGAAGGACACGAATCAGGACTTGTTGCTGGAAGATACTTGGTATTAACGGTATCGCGAGACTAAGGTGGAATGTGGAGGGTAGGGAAGGATGAGTAGCAAACTGCCCCGGAAGTGCAGATGGACCCAAAGCGCCCAAAGCTCTTTCCAAGACGAAATGTCAAAGTTCAGCCAGTCCAATAGCTGTCGATAGGCATGACCGTGGTGGTAAAGTGGATCTACTTCCGGTGAGCAGAAAAGCAGGAAGGACTGCTCAAAGAAGAGTAAACTATACACCAACAGCCTCCCTGGATCAAGCCCTCCAAGACTATATATGTTGCTTCATTTGTTCTGGATATCGGGATCTGGTGAGGAGTGAGATTGCCCCCGAAATTGGGGGTTTGGGTACTCTTGACTTAGAGAATGATTGTTTTAAATAATGACCTTGATGCGTGCATGTTCCCCTCAAAGAGCCAACCCATTTGGCACAATAACGTTGTGTCAACATCGAGAAGAGGTTCAACCGTTGAGATTTGGTTGAGGTTGAGAATTCGACAAGGAATCATAAAAAAATGCTGCCTATTCGTAATTAACAGTATTTTTCAGCATATGGCGACTACTCCTACATTAGCGAAGTCGTTCAGAGGCTATAAAGCGCAATTTCGTTTTTCATCCTAGTCTCACTGTTGTTTCAACGTGGAGTTACCCAGGTAACACAGAACATCGAATCAACATTGATTGGATGTGGATTGAGTGTGCGAATGCTGAGGGTTGAAGGTGAACATCGTTTCAATGCTGAGAGAATGTTGTCATCACATTGTGGATTCCAATTGGGGAATATTCGATTTACATTTCTTAGATGTGGCATCATTGTTAACCCCTCTTAATATGAAAAGCTGGACCTCTCCAATAGGTTTTCGGAGCACTATCAACCTACAAGTTCTTTCATTTAAAGCGAAAGCTGTCAATCGCGAAGTTGTGCTGAGGAGGATCTTGTACAGTCTCATTTTGGGTACTTTGTTGATGAAAGCCTTGATTAGAATAAACGAAATCCTATGAAACCCAGTCTGTTGGAATCATTGTCTAACGGCCACTGATTCCGTCCGGCCAATACGAACCATCCCGAAAGGTCAATTTCTATATCCTTTTTTATTTTAATTTCTTGTTTCGCGACGGTCAAGGTAGTTTGCGGGTAGCTATTAAAGTACAGCGACGTACGAGTAATACCACCGGCCACACCAGAGCAGCATCAACCTTCCAAGTTGAGCTATGTTTCATTTCAAAATTGTGGCAACATGTTAAGATGAAAAATCAACCTTTTCTCAATGTTGACACAACTTTGTTGTGCTGTAATAAAATAGGAGGGAGTGGAAGAAAATGCTTTACGGATCTGCTGGATGGCAAATCCGTAATTGCATTAGAAGGCTACACGAGAACATGGACACCATCTAGTGAGGGTTTTTGGTACTTCATTATGATCGCGGCTATGCTCCACTTCCCTGGTAACACAGAACATTGAAACAACATTGATTAAATGTTCGGGAAGTTAGGAGTTGTAAACGTACGAGCTAGGTGTAAGTTAGTCACAAAAATTTACAAGATTAATAAGTCATTTAAAAAAATATATAGGTTACAACCACCAGTATACGCTTGTCAGATGTCCTACGTGAAACATTGTTTCAATGTTGAATCAACATCGTCTATAAAAGGATGCAAGATCACTCTAGGATGACCGTAGGATAATTATAAATGTTCCATATATTTGTTTCCAAAATTAGAAATCAATGTTCAATACATAGGAATAAACGGCATGCAACTCAAAAGTTGAGGAGTCATATTTTTTTTTTTTTACATTGAAGCCATGTTGTGGAAGGTCATAAGTACTCCAAAAACCTATGGGAAAGGTAAAACTTTTCATCATTTGAGAGGGATTAACGAAGATGCCACGTCTAAGAAATGTGATCCGAATATACTCCAATTGGAATCCACAATGTGATGCAA